TATTTGAGTTATGATGAACCATACTTACGATCGTCCATTTCTTTTTTACATCTTATCGTAAGTAATATGTACTACACACAGTGTTGCAGCATGTAATTTGCTGATGTTATCATTTCATGTCAACCCCCAAAGATAAATAAAGATTGGATTTATAAAGATACTGATAGTAAAAGGCAACAATGATGAAAACTAAAAAAAAAAAAAAAGCGGGGAGGTATTCGATTTACATCAGAACCGATCTATGATGGAGTTGTCGGAAGAGAATCCTGTCATGAGTTGGGCCTATGCTAGGGGCTTCAAGATGCCTGTAAATAAGATAGACACTAGTCTATATAATCTTAGGTAAGACTTTTTTGCCAATGAAAACAAGAGAGTCCCCACCCTCTACCCCTATCCTTAGGCAGCTTATGCCAGCTCAGTTTTAGTCTTTCATTTAGTGACCTAATCTGCTCAAAGAATTTGTTCACAGGTTTGGGGAAAAGCTGTAAGTGGGCCAGAAAATTAAAAAAATTAAATGCTAACAGATGAGACCCAGTTCTGATCCCAAAGTCAGGTAAAATTAATCTTAGCTATTTTGACAATGGTCATTAAAAACCAAAACTCAAACCTATTGCCGTTGAGTTGATTTCGATTTCATAGTAACTCTATAGGACAGAGTAAAACTGCCCCATAGGGTTTCCAAAGAGCGGCTGGTGGATTTGAACTGCCAACCTTTTGGTTAGCAGCCTGAACTTTTAACCACGGTGCCACCCTGGCTCCAACGGTCATTAAATAACGAGAATTTCTGCACGTAGTTTCCGAATTAGAAAGTCTGAGACCCTTTGATAGTGGGATGCAAAGATGAACACCAAAACACAATAATTAGAAGTGGGCATTTCTCCAAATTTGCCTTTAAAAAAAAAAAAATTATGCTATTAAGCATTAAGTGCAAGGATTAAAATTTCACAAACTTCTAATTAAATCAAAATGTGGTGACAATTGCTGGCACTTGTCCAAATGCTAAAAGAATCTCATCTGTTGAATAAATAAAACATTTGCTTCCAACTTGAAGCAAAACTTTTTAGGTACGTGATTAACCTGATCTACAAATATAGCATACGAAAAATAGGTAAGATAGGTCTTTTATGAGGCATAAAACCAAGAGTTTTGGAGATGTTTGGCTGTAACTCACAAAAGATCTAAAACAAAAGTAAACAACTATACATTCCTAAAAATTAAAATATGCACATTTTCTAGAATAATTAGAAACATGGGTATTACAAGACAATTCTTACTAGGTCAAAGGCAAATTTTTAAAAATTATAACACTGCAACTACTTTGGGGGATATAGTCAAAGCCTTTCTCTTAAGGGGATAGATTCATTTATTTTTCTTCTGCAATTAGACAAAATCTCTACTTTCCATACTTTCTGAAAATAATTAAACACATTTAGTATTTCAAAACATTCACTGGGTATTTGTGATTCATCACTTAAGTATTTCAAAAATTACTGTTTTAAAAACTGTTGTTGAGTGCCATCAAGTCGATTTTGACTCACAGCAACCCCATGTGACACAGCCCCCACAGGGTGTTCTTGGCTATTAATCTTTACGGAAGCTGATCACCAGGTCTTTCTCCTGTGGAGTCACTGGGTGGGTGTGAACTGCCAACCTTTAAGTTAGCAGTCAAGCACTCAACCACTGCACCACCAGGCATATTTTATATACGGCATTTATTTACTTATTTTACTTCTTTCTTTACTTATTTATTTGTCACTGTAAAAGACTTGCACAGTGAAGAGGAATGATGCAATGGAAAGTAGATCAGACGGGGAGTCAAGATAGTCACCTAACCATTTATTCCTTTAAATGAACATCTTCAAGCTACTTTAAGTGCCAGGCAATGGGCATTAAAAAAATAGTCCCTGATCTTAAGGACTTCTTGGAAGAAACATGATACCATATTTCATTGAATTTGAGATGCCATCAATTGTAAGATGAACTCTTAACTAAAAAAAATGCTTTTAATTAAGCTATGACATATTGCCTTGAATCACATTAGCCTCTCTTAGCTTTGAATCTATTCAGAAAATGTGGCAATTTTTCCTGCCTTGAATACATTGCTTGACGTTTTCAAAGGCAATTCTCTTTTACAAATCTCGGTACAAAACACAGATTCATCAACTTTAGGGTATCTTTCTTTCTTGGCTCCCATAAAGCATTTGATTGTTGCTTTTAAAGAAAAATAAATGGAATTGTGTTCATTTCTCCAAAGGTAAATACCTACTTCCCTAATACCAAATTTATATCCCCTACTTTGTTTATGTCCTTTTCTGTTTACTCAACAATGTTTTGTTTCAATGCCAAATCATAATGATATCTTTTTGAGGACACTATAAATAGTAATTAACTCAACATATGTAGCACTGCCACCGTGTATGTACTCAATTGAAATGAAGACACTAAATATAACTCTAAGTTTGCACATGCACAGGCAATGAAAACCTGGCAAGACTGTCACCTGACCAACAGCTACCGGAAGATACTACCAATTGTTAGATACATTCTGATTTCAGAGATGTTAAAATGTGAAAAATTCTGTCTTAGTAGTAACAGCAAACTCTCATGTAGCTCCTTGATTTGATAATTCAGGCCTGTTGCATGTCTGGCCTATAGAGGGAGAAGTGCCCAGGGAGCCAGAACCCTGGAAAACAATAAAAGATGCCCAAAAGATGGTTCCCGAGTTAGCTATGAAAAATGCCACATTTCTGATGCGTTTTGGGGACCAGACAATGCAGTACTTACTGGAGGGATGAGGAATAAACTGTTTAAAGAAACATCTCCCTACGGGAAAGGGACACTAATTCCTCCTATGACTATTTCCCTCATCAGAGCACCAGTATATGATGTGGGCAAATCCCTAAATGCATTTAAAAAATTAGAGGACCATGAGTCCTCTAATGTAATAAGCACCTTTCTATGTACTTTACATACAATAACAAGCTTTGAGATCTTTGGCAAATCATGAGGGTCTCCCTTCCTGATCTGGAAAAGGAGGGAGATGGAATAGATAATTACGGAGTTCTGTACCAGGAATAAAACATTTTAATTCTATAACCATCTACAATGCAATTTTACTCCCACGCTGTTGTCTCCTTAAGCCAATACAATTTAAAGAACTTCACTGCCATTAACTGATTAATAAAAGGAATGTAAATTTTTACTATTAATCTAAAATAGACTTGATTAGGAAGGTATTTAAGAAACAGACACATATGTACTTGGACTACTACTTCTCCTTTTTAGGGAGATGGCAAAAGGTAGATAAAACTGATCCAATTTGTGGGCTTTCCTCTGTTCAGTTACTGTACTTATGATAAAAATTTAGCCATTTAAAATTTTAGTCCAAAATTAACATGATTTCAATGTGTCAAGTTTTAATGGCTACTTACAACGCAGGGTCCCTTATTCGTTTTAAAATTCTGTTCAATTATAAGGGGAAAAACAATAGACTAATAACAGATGCCAATACTGCAACATTTTCTCTTGACCCAATTTGAGGGTAGAATTAATGTGCATTACACACTTGACAAGTCTTCTGCTCCAAGGGGATCGTCACGGCCTTTGGATTTTCATACACAGGCCTGGCTAGCTGCTCCCCCTCCTAGGTACCTCCCTTTAGGCCCACAGCCTCTGATCATCAGGCAAACGAGTGAAGCTTGAAATAATTCTTAATATTTCACTTTGAAGTTGTCCTACGAGAACAGTAAGGGGAATAGATCAAAACGTACATTGTCTTCAAGGCTGTCAGTATTTGTTCCTTTTTTTTCAGGTCTGGTAAAATTCATACAACATAAAATTAGTTACCTTAAAGTGAACAATTCACTGACATTTAGTACATTCACAATGTTGCACAACCACAACCTCTATCTAGTTCCAAAACATTTGCATCACCCAAAAGGTAACCCCATACCCATTAAGCAGTTACTCTACATTCCTCCCTCCCTCAAGTCTCTAGTAACCACCAATCTGCTTTCTGTCTCTATAGGTTTACCTATTCTGAATATTTCATATAAATGGCATCATACAACATATGTCCTTTTTGTCTTTCTTCTTTCACTTAGCACAGTGTTTTTTGGGTTCAGGTTCAATCATGTTGAAGCATGTATCAGGACTTCATTTCTGTTTATGGCTGAGTTATCTTCCATTGCAAGTATATACTAGAATTTGTTTATCTATTCATCCACTGATGGACATTTGAATTGTTTCTACCTTTTAGCTACTATGTCACTCTTTCTTAAATGTCTAATATCCAACATAAACACTCATATATTGATGTCGATTTGCTTTTCTCTTTTATATATTACATACACACTCTTACATATAAAATAAAATCTAAAAAAACAGTTGCCATCAAGTCGATTTTGACTCATGGAGATCCCATGTCTGTTAGAATACAACTGTGCTCCATAAGGTTTTCAATGGCTAAATTTATGGAGGTAGATTACCAAGCCTTTCTTCGGAGGCACCTCTGGGTGAACTTGAACCCCTCACCTTTTGGTTAGCAGCCAGATGTGTTAACCATTTGCACCACCCAGAGACACTTAAAATAATCTACTCAACAGAAATCAGAGAAAACATTTAAAAAATTCCAAGGAAAACATGAAAATAAAGGAATATAAGTGAACTACTGGCAAAAATAGGAGCCTATTGGTGGCGTAAATGGTTAGACACTTGACTACTAACCGAAAGATTGGTGGTTCGAATCCACCTGGAGGCACCTCAAAAAAAATGCCTGGCAATCTACTTCTGAAAGGTCACATCCTTGAACACCCTGTGGAGCACAGTACTACTCTGCACACATTGGGGCACTAGGAGTTGGATGGAGTTGACTTGTCCGCAACTGGTTTGGCTTTTGTTTTTTGGTTTATTGGCAAAAATGGGCTTAAAAAGCAAGTAAGTTAGAAAATGATCCATAAGGGAAGGATCTCACCAGTACATAGAATTTTACTATTACGTACCTTCCCATGCTGCCCAGCTCTTTCATAACAAATGACAACATCTTCCCACATTTCTAGTTTCTCATATATCTGCAGGGCTGAACCGGTACATCCCAACTCAAAGAGTAAACCTGCAAGCTGGCGCTAGAAAAATCAAGTAAAATAATTAACGTTTTGTGATGTAAAAAGAGATTCCTGTTTAACTTAGAAGTATACAAAATCTTCCCTTTTAAGGGTCTGCTCATTGTATAAATGCATAATTTCTATAATTCAACCTCTCTACGAAGTGAGGAAATAAAAGACAATATAGAAACAGCTAAAAATACTCAATATATTGACTTTTTTCTAAGAACTCAGAAGAGCTTAACAAACAAAATCAGTATTTCTTTATCTAGAGATTCTATATATGATAATCTCTGATTTGTAAAGATGAGAACCAATAAATTGACAAAAAAGGACTCTGAGCAGTCAATATAGATGACATAAAGACATACTATATTAGTAGCCATGTACTGTATTCATGAGGGCATCTCTGGTTCCTTCTCACTTAGGTCTACTTAGATTTATTTTAAGCACATTCTAACAAATTTAGCTACATAATTTCCCAGTCTTTGGCAGATAAAAGGGGGCCAGCAAAGTTTCAATAAACATATTCAAAAATAAATATATTGTGGTTTACATCATACAAGAATGAAAAAAAATATTAGAAAGGTTAAAAAGTAGGTGAGCTTCTTGAATAAGGTATAATTTCATATTAGTGAGAGCTGTGTTATTTTCTCTTAATTACGATTTTACTACTAACTTAAAATTCATTACATATTTAAGAGTTAAAAAACTACTAAATATGGAAGATTTGGGATGGCCAAAATGAAAGATACCTGAAAATTATAAGCTAACAAATCATCAAAACAAATAAGGGGAGGAGAGTGGCACAGTATTTTTGCATTCCATGAAATATTGGAGAATGGGGCTATTTTAGAATACTTGATTAGACATTTCCAAAACCTGAACACAGCTGGAATAACTCTTAGTGCTCATCAGTAAGTAGAGCCCTGGTGGCACAGTGGTTAAGAGCTCAGTTGCTAACCAAAACGGTCAGCAGTTCGAATCCACCAGCCGCTCCTTGGAAACTGTATGGGGCAGTCCTACTCTGTCCTGTAAACTCGCTATGAGTCGGAATTGACTCTTTGGCAATGGGTATGGGTACCAGTAAGTAGTTCAATCTTTTCATTTAATCCATGAAGAAAGGTGGTGGCATCCAACATAATATGGTTAGTTAGTGGTAAAGATTAATTCTCTTTTTACTATGATAAACTAGGCCGTTATTTCTTGATTGTTTGAAATAATACACAAAGATATGGCTACTCCCTACAATGCCAAAAAAAAAAAAAAAAAAGTGATTTAATGGCTTAATTAAAGAGGATCTTTATCCAGCGGCCTAAGTATCCTAAAAACTATAGCTTCATAGCAGATAAAACATTTAGCCTAAATCCTGTTTGAACAGTATTTACATTTCCCAATGCTTCCATTCATAAAGTTTTCACTGGTCAATTTTTTCAAAAGTAGAATGCTAGGTCCTTCTTTCTGGTCTTTGTCTGGAAACTCTGCTGAAACCTGTCCACCATGAATGACCCTGCTGGTATCTGAAATACTGGTAGTATAGATTCTAGCATCACAGCAACACGCAAGCCACCACAGTATGACAAACTGACAGATGAGTGGTAGAGAAGGACATCATGCTTGGTAAAGTAGAGAGTCAGCAAAAGAGAGGAAGACCCTCAACAAGATAGACTGACACAGTGGCTGCAACCATGGACTCAAGCATAACAACGATTGTGAGGATGGCGCAGGACAGGGCAGTGTTTTGTTCTGTTGTACAGTTGTACACAGGGTCGCTATGAGTCGGAACTGACTCGATGGCACCTAATAATAACACAATAACATTTCTGTTCAGACACAGATTAAAAGCTACACTCTCAGCAGACACATGCTGTGCTACGATAATAGCTCAGTGTCTGAGATGTTTATCCATCACAAACTACATAGTACAAAGCACTTAAATTCCACAGATTAGGGTCAAAAACATGCTAACATCTTGCTGATGAAAACGCTATTCCTTTTGGGATGATATAGCAAAGCTTTTTACTTGCTTAGGTTTTATTGAGACTTCTTCAATATATAAAGTGAATTCAATTGTAATTTATCCTCTACTTAAAAAAATATAACCTACTCCAAGGAATTGCGTAACAGGGAAAATGTAAGCCACTGAATGATAGGTTGGCATTTCTAATTCTAAATCATGCTTGGCTGCTAACCCAAAGGTTGGTGGTTGGAACCCACCTAGTGGCTCTGTGGGAGAAAAGACCTGGCAATCTGCTCCTGTAAAGATTACTGCCTAGGAAACCCTATGGGGTAGTTCTACTCTGTCACATGGGGTCGCTATGAGTTGGAATCAACTTGATGGCACCTTAGAACAACAACACCCACGTGCATACTCCACAAGAAGAGAGGACAGGAAGGTGATTAAGATAACACTACCGTATTTTTAAGCAAGTAACATGCACCTTCTACATTTGTCTGCCAACCTCGCCCTCTCCTCTCTCAGGTATTTTTGTAAGCATGCTATGCTAAAAATTGGCACAGCTGTGCTTATAAAAATACCTGGGGCGGGGGGCGGATGGGTGGAGATGGCATGGTTGGCAAACAAACATAGAAGGTGCATGTTATTTGCTCAAAAATACAGTAGTTGCTAAATCACCTAGAAACCTCTGTTTGGCACACTTTGACTCTATGCTATGAGGGGCTCTGAGAGTACTATAGCTACTTAACCTCTCTGTGACTTAGCTTCCTCATCTGTAAAATAGGAATACTTTACATAAAGTTGTTACAATAAAATAATGTGTGTGAAATGCAGAGCAAAATGCACACAGATCACACTAACTGTGCAATAAAAGTTGGCTGTTATTAGAAGATATAACTACAACCCAATAAAAAGTTTTAAGGAAAGATTACTGGACTAAAACTAAGGAAGCCAGAGACTGAGCTCATTAACTGCTGGGTGATCAACCTTGGAAAAGTGTAGTTAATAGCATTAGGTCTCAATTTTCTTCTCCATAAAATTAAAACTGGACTAGATGTCTAAGTTCAGCCCTAAAATTTTACAAATTAGGGGTACCATATCTCTAATACAGGAAGAACACAGGGGCCAAAGACTAGAATCGCCACCCCAACATGGGGGCTTCAGGAACTACAATAGGTATTCTCATACCCTCAGAAAGGGCAGAGCAGATAAGGATGTCCCGCAGTATATAGTATCTAATAAATGCGTTTTTTTACTTTTTGTAAACAACTTGGTTAAAAGCTTCATTTTCTGGCAGAAAATCCTCAAGGGGCTTTTTAAATATTAAAATTTTGAAAACACAAACTTATGGTTCTCCTATTATTTAATTTCTAGAATTCTATTTTAAGTTAGTTTTAAATTCTTTAAAAATTCTTAAGGGCCTATTATTACCTCAATCAAAATAGCAATTTGAAGTAATTGACAATCCCCAGCTAGATAATTTTATTCTTTTCATTGAAACATTTGAAAATTCAAGCATAAATTGAAAATTATTCTTTTCTAATGCATATCCCTTTCTAGTGCTAAGTATTTTCCATATCCAATGACAACAACAACAAAAATACCTGAATGGCCCAGTGAGGTGGTACTTGACAGCAATAGAAAATCTTCAGGCGTTCCAATACAGATGTAGTCATATCTTCAAATTGGTCTGCGAGAGCCTAAGGACATATTACAATCAGCACCTATACACGCAGTAACTTTTTAAAATAAAAAAATCTTATAAAAATTTACCTGAACATAATTATAAACAATAAAGAACTCAGGTCATTTTGATAGGATGACAGGATGCATGAATATTTTCTTAGATTTCTTTAAATTTTAAACAAACTTTATAATCTAGTCAAGATTTACATACACACACATTACCAGGAAATAGTTTTTAAAATTAAGATTTCCTATAGTTGCTCTTTCAAAGAACTAGCTTATTTACCAGCCTTTTTACTTTTTCTATGAAAAACAGTTCTTTAGCATATCTGTTTCATAACTGTAATGCTAACTCTAAATATCACTTGGATAAATCAGAGAGAAATCATATGAAGAATTTCATTTAGGACTATACTCTTGGGAATAAAGTGAAAGACAAAAATAGGTCTATATGATCACAGAGAGTGAGTTCATTCTTCAGCTACAGAGCTATCAGGGCGGATATTCATGAGAGACCATCTATACAGTGCAGTGGGCAGCTGCAAGCTGCATGCACTGAAGAATCCCCGATATACCAAAATACCTACACTGTATTGAACAACTGAACTCTCAGAAGCCACATCAAGAAGCAGACTATCAAGATGGCTGAATCTAACAAAAGTTCCAAGGTCAACTGCAAAGTAAAATGCCAGCATTATTCAGTGGTGCAAACGATTAACATGCTCAGTTGCTAATCAAGTTGGCAGTCTGAGTCTACTGAGAGGCACCTCAAAATCCCTGGCGATCTACTTCCAAAAAGTCAGCCATCGAAAACCCTATGGAGCACAGGTCTACTCTGACACACATGGGGTCACCATGAGTTGGAATCAACTTCACGGCAACTGGAAAAAAAAAATCCGTTGGTGAGGTGATCAGTTATCCAAAGAGCTCAGATATACAACATCAAAGTGAGGGCAGCCACGCGCTGGCATCTGGGGCAAACATTTATGGACAGCAGTGCCATTACTATGAACATCCTCATCTGCTTCTTAATTTGTAATTCAATTTATTAAGTATATATATTTTTCTGATAGTATACACTTAGACCTTCTCTCAACTGTGAATTAGCATGACCTTTTATGCATAATGCACTACTCATATTTTCTTTTTTGCCAGTTGACTAGTGTTCAGAGTTGTCTTATGAAGATTAGATGGTAGTAATACACCAATGCTAATTTTCTGATTTTAATGGATATGTTGTGGTTATGTAAAAGAATGTCCTTGTTGTATATGAGGATGACAGAGCACTGTGTTAGCACTTTACTCTTGAAATACTTCAGGATACAAAAAGCATTTGTACTGTACTTGCAACTTTTCTGTAAGTTTGAAATTGTTTCAAATTTTACATAATACATTTAAAAATTTGAAAATTTCAGAAAAAGTAAAAGAAGTAGCAAGTTTAAGAAAACGACAGGAGTCTAACATATCCTAGTAAAAGCCTAAGACAAGGAGATCAGTTTCTCAGCAGGGAAATTGCTCCTAAGTTGGGAGTTCTCTAGATTATATCTGGGGGGAGATACATCTGTTAGTCTAAGAATATCCTGTCTATGAACTATTGTTCATCAGGTCAAGTGTGAGAAAATACTCACCACATCACTTCTTTGACAATCCAAGATGTTATTCAATCAAGACAGAGCAAACTGAGACATAACTAGACTCCTAAACCATCTCGGTCAATATATTTTTTAAAGCTTTCTCGCCTTGCTTCACAGAAACTTAATAGCAAAAAGGTTGCATGCTTCTGCCCAAAGCTGTTTAGTTGTGGGAGGGAGGGTAGAAAAGAATAACTTCTGGCTGTATGTATAAATAAAGAGATCACTGAATTATTTCATGAAAGGGGGAGAAAATTTTCTTTCTCAATCTTTTTGGAAAGAAAAATAACTAACGATAATTTGATAATAATAAAAGCAACACTGCAAAATTTACTATTACTAAATCCTAATTATAGGTTAAATTTTTATTTTCAAACAAAACTCATGTTTGCTGTAGCTACTGCATCTAACTATAACATAGGAAGTTTTCAGAAAACATTTCCTGATTTATTAATAAACGGATTTACTAAGTACTTCAGATATGCTCAGACACTCTCCAACGTGACAATGGATAGAGTGCAGAGAACCAACACTTATTGGAGCTGGGTACCAGACAAGTCCCTGCACAAGTACAGTCACTCTTTATAAGAACCTGATCAGGCTATCTGAATAATAAAAACTGGGAAATTAAAAACAGACCTCTAAGTTATTTGCACTTCTACACAGAATAATTACCCTCTACGTCTATCTTAAACATGACAATCACATAAAGAGGATTTAACCAACCAGTTGCTATCAAGTCAATTCTGACTTATGGAGATCCCATGTATATCAGAGTAGAATAGGGTTTACAATGGCTGATGTTTTTAGAAGCAGATTGCCAGGCTTTTCTTTTGAAGTGCCTCTGGGTTGACTCAAACTGCCAATCCCTCAGTTAGCAGCCGAGTGTTTAACTATTTACACCACACAGGGACTCCCTACCAATAAAACCAAGAACATTAAATTGATAACCAAAAGTAAAGGGTGATGGGTGTACTGGTCATTTCCTATTTCCTCTATGTATTCAAAGTATTCTTTTTTTATTTGCTAAATCACTACAAATACAGGAACATAATTACAGGACATCGCTAGGTTTTTCAGAGCAGGATTATTTCCAGCAACTCATTCTAAAATAATTCCATTATATTCATACAAACTGGAGGCATGGTAAAATGAGAAAAGCCATAGCTGGTAAGTGAAGTGACCTGGATTCTGTTCTAGGTCTATCTGCAATAAGCAAATCTTTTAACCACATGGCATTCATCTAAGAAATGATTTTTTATGTTATCCTTGTACTTCCAACATTCTGAGTAAATGGCTTTAACAAAAGAGTTTTTTTGTTTCATTTCAAGCATTAGAAGAGGTCTATAGGTTATTTTAGGCATCATTAGCTGAACACAAGTTCCATGTCCATTGTTTGGGGCAAACTGCATACACAAGTTATCTGGAAGACAATGGTAGAATGTTAAGTACTAGAAGAACAGGACTTAATGAAAGTGAAGCCTCAATTAATACTGTGTATATTTCCCTGGGTGGCACAAACAGTTAAGCACTCAATTACTCAGAAAGGTTAGCAGTTTGAACCCACCCAAAGGTGCCTTAGAAGAAAGACCTGGTGATCTACTTCTGAAAGATCATAGCCTTGAAAACTCTATGGAGCAGAGTTCTACTCTGCACACACAGGGTCGCCATGAGTCAGAATAGGCCAGACAGCTACCTTTTTTTTTTCTTCCCCCTAATGTGCATGTACATGAACATAAGCAATGTGCTCAGTGAAAAACTGCCACTTTATAAGCTTTCACATAGTCCTAGAAATTTAGGTAAATGGCCTCTAAAGTAGTGTGCCCTAACTTTTCACTTGCCACGTTCTTTCCAGTTTCTAAATCTCATGAATTTCACATGTGAAAATCATGAGTACTTGGTCATAAGTAAAAACTGGTACAGTGAGGTGATCTTTAAGGAAAGATGGTGTGGACTGAATTGTGTCCACCAAACATATCTGTCAACTTGCCCGGGTCATGATTTCCTTATGTGTTGTAAATTCAATCACTATGATCTAATAAGATAGATTAGCGGCAGTTATACTGATGAGGTATACAAGATTGGATAGTGTCTTAAGCCAATCTCTTTTGAAATATAAAAGACAGAAGTAAGCAGAGACACATGGGAACCTCACACCACCAAGAAAGCAGTGCCAGTAGCAGAGTGCACCCTTTGGACCTGAGGTTTCTGTGCTGAGGTGTTCCCAGACCAAGAGAAGACTGACGCATCACAAGGACCTTCCTCCAGAGCCAACAGAGAGAGAAAGCCTCCTCCTGGAGCTGATGCCCTGAATCTGGACTTGTAGCCTAATGGACTGTGAGAGAATAAACTTCTCTTTGTTACAGCCATCCACTTGTGGTATTTCTGTTACAGCAGCACTAGATGACTAAGACAGATGGTAATAGCAAAAAGAGAGAGAAAGATAAGCAAATATATCCAGAACCAATCATTAAGACTAGTTTCAGTCTTCTAGGACCACAAACTAAGAATTGAAAGCAAAACAGAGTCTATCCTGAGAGGGTGAACAAAGAGACATGGATAAATGGGCAAGGCAATGTGTACAGAGTGAGGAGCAGTCTGGGATACAGTCCAAGGGTAGAGGGAAAGCCAAGCCACAGAAGAGCCAGGCACAACTGCTGAGATATACCAGAGATGACTTCATGATGCACGAACTACTGTAACATGAAACTGTTTTCAAGTTTTAAGACTCCCTTTTAATGTCATTTCCCCACCAAACTCCATCTAAAAGCACTTATACTTTGAGTGTCCCTTGAGAAAATATTTTTATGCATATGGATCCAATAACCCCATGAAGTAACAACTCCCAAACCTTCCAGAAGCCACACTACCACAGGTCAAGAATATCTCTATGGAATGGGGAATAAAAGAATAAAATCACAGAAAGCAAACATGTGTCTTCCCTTTCTAATGCTGTTTTCAATAGAGAAGAAACTTCCCAGAAACTCTAGAGAAGATCTAGACTGAGGAATTCCGGGCAACATGGCACTACAGACAGAAGCACCATGCTGTCCCTCCACAGCAAAGACCCGAAAAACTAAGTCAAACAGAGACAAACGTCAATCATGAAACCCAAAGCATCAAATGAAGAGATAAAGAAGTCAGCCAAACACTGAATGGAATAAGAACCTAACAGAGATCAGAGAGTGAGGAGAGATATATGCAGAGGTCCCATATCAGCTAACACAGCACAGGTTCACCATCTTGGACTCCTGTCAGATATGGGAAAACAGGGAAAGCAGCTTCATTGAGCTCCCAGCAGGAGACAGAACAACCGGTAAACAGCGATATATGCTTTCCCACACACCACCATTCTTTACCCCAACTCAGCATCCTCTGCTTCC